TGACAAAAAAAAAAAAAATATATATATATATATATATATATATATATATATATGTCATAAATGACTTCCATCTTCCGAGAGGTTCCCGGCCCAGCCGCTCCTGCAGTTTCTTCCCGGAGGCCTTGTCGCCTCCAGCCCTTGCTGTGCCATCCTCCCTGCCCTCCCTCCCACTCACTGGTGACCTCTGGAATCTGCCCTTTCCCCTGTGACTCTGGCTCTGGGAAGTCCCGGGGCCTCCCTGAAGGGTAAGGAGTGGCCACTCTTCAGTCATCATCACCCTCTTCAACTGCGCTGTCCCGTTGGACACAGTTGGCCAGACTTCCATTCTTTCCTTGAAAAGTGGCTTTTCTTGCTTTCTTTGATAAGCCTGTGCCTGCTCCCGGTGAGGACACGGACGCGAGGAGGAGGGACGGGAGGGTGGGGGTAACCAGGCGCAGCACGGCACGCACCACTTCTGTAATTTGCTTTTTCTTTAAAAAAAAAAAAAAGGTAAAATTATGTTTTAATTCTTTCCCTGTCCACAAACATGTACGGTCGTCTTTAACGGCTATTTTTTAGGGCTTTCATTCATGCTGCCGCGTTGCTCTTCCCTGAGGACGGCGGATCTGCAGCCGCTGGCGGCGCGTGGCCTGTCTGCAGCCCTCTTGCCAGTGCTCAACTTTATACCGTTTTTCCCCACTTTTTTTATTGTGGTAAAATACATACAAGTAAAATTTTACCATCTTAGCCATCTTTAAATACATTCAGAATGTTGCGTAGCCGTCACCACACCTGTTCCATAGCTCTTTTCACCTTGGAAAACTAAACTTAGTTTTAATATTTGCCAATTTGACAGGCAATTTAAAAAATTGCATTTCTTTAATTGCAGGTGAGCTTAATCTCATGCCTTTTTCTCCTTTTGGAACACTCTCCGTTCTTGAAATCCTCTTGTTGGATCTGCGGGCTCTTCCAGCCCTCTGTCTCCTTCCCTGTGGCTTTAGTGTCCCCTCAGACCACCTTGCACATCCCTATGTGCTCACGATCTCTACGCCCAGGTCTCTCCCTGGCTCTTGAGTCTGCGGGTTTAGGAACCTGCCCCCTACTTGACTTTCGTGATGGGCTGGTCCAGTTGGGGTCCTTACCTCTCGGTCTTTCCCCAGCCACCCTGCGAGACCCCACTCAGATCATGTTCCCACTGAAGATTGTCCCAGATGCCCCCATTCTGAGTTACCTCTCCCTCGCCTCTTTCCCACCCCCCTGGCTGGCACCTCCACTTTGATGGTGCATCTGTCTTTCTACTAGTTGGAGCCCTGGGACAGCAGACACTGCATCACCTCCTCTCTCCTCTCTTCTGCGGTGGATTGAGTGGTCACTTAACAAAGGTCTGTTGGAGTTGAGTTGACACTCTGGGAATTGAGAGAATAAATAATAATGTGGACTAATCATTTCATTTCTTCTCTAATATTCTCACATAGTATTTTATTCCTGAAATTTATGACTATGGGGCAACTATTGTATTTCTGAGTTCTACTTCCAACCCAGCATCAAAACCTGAAGTCTCCATTTGGAAACTGTATTTTCAGCCAGGAGGAGGTTTTCCCAACTTGCTCATTGTGTCTGTTGCTGCCTGCTAGCACTGTCTGATAGAACTTCTGCAGTGATGGAAACATTCTTCATCGGAACTGTCCAGTACAGTAGCCACTGCTGCCTATGGCTGCTGAGCACTTGAAATGTGTCAAGTGCAACTGATGAGCTGAGTTTATCATTTTATTTGATTTCAATTAATTTGAATTTAAATGTAAATAAGTACATGTGGCTAGTGGCTACCATATTAGAAAGCACAGCTGTATACGTTATAGACATGACAACTATTAGCAAACTATTTTTATAAAATTTAGAGACATATTTTGATTTTTCCCTTTTTATGGGTATGTTAGAGCTAAAACTCTGCTTATCAGGCTGAATAATATATTTCATGTGATTAAATGCCAGGATCATCATTAAAGCCAGAATTTGGACTTCTTAAGACTTTCACTAATCCATAAGTAACCCACCCATTGCTGTTCATGATTGTCCCAAAGCCTGGTGGTGCTGCCTCAGGGCCCTGCAGGTGTGTGTGTGTGCATTTACCCAAACTCAAGTGTGTCCTCCTGCTCAGCAACCAGGTGTTTGCATAGCAGTAACATCAGGTAATAGATGTTGGCTGTGCTTGCTGAAGTCACCACATCTGAACAAAATCAAACTAGGATGCAGACTATAATATTAAGTTTTTTCTTCCTTTTCCAGAGGGTCAGCACAGCAGACATTCTGAAACCTCTCAATCAAGAGGATCAGAAACGCTCTACTATCCCTGTTTCGAAGCAAGAGAATCTTTCATCTAGTCCAACGCCCAGAACTTTGTTCTCTGGAGGCTTGAGACACGTGAGTCTTGTTCCAATGCTCTTGAAACGATGCATGGTTATTATGCCATTGGTGGACCAGGGTCAAATGAGCTGTTGTCTTGTGAGATAAACTGTACCATGACAATACAGCTTGCAAGTAACATTTTGCTTAGATTGGGAGCTGAGCAAAACATTGCTTTATTTTGAGGTTGGTTTTTCTTTTTTACAGCATCTAGTGAATGTTTTCATACATACAGAGAGTAATTAAGAATAAAATAGTGCGGGCCGGCCCGTGGCTCACTCGGGAGAGTGTGGTGCTGATAACGCCAAGGCCCCGGGTTTGGATCCCATATAGGGATGGCCGGTTAGCTCACTAGGTGAGCGTGGTGCTGACAATACCAAGTCAAGGGTTAAGATCCCCTTACCGGTCATCTTTAAAAAAAAAAAAAGAATAAAATAGTGGTGTCTTTTGATGAGAAGTTTTAAATTTTGATGGAGTCTAATTTATCAAAAAAAATTTTTATGACTCTGTCTGTGTCCTGTCTGTAAGTCATGAAGATATTCTTCTATGTTTTCATCTAGAAGCTTTATAAAAGGTGAGCTTTTATGTTTAGGTCTGTGCTTCAGCTCATTAATTTTTTTTGTGAATGGTGTAAGGTAGAGATTGAGGCTTATTTTTTACTATATGGATATTTAGTTAATCCAGTACCATTTGTTAGAAAAAACTTCCATGTGCCCCAGTGACTCTGGTGTCTGTTGAAAATCAAATGACCACATGGGTGTGGGTCTTTTTCTGGGCTCTCTATTCTGTTCCACTCTTTGTCTAGCCTCAGGCCAGGTCCACACTGTCTTGATTACTGTAGCTTTGTAGTAAGTTTTCAGGTGGGATAGTGTGAGGCTTCCAACTTGGTTCTTCTTTTTTGAGATTGCTCTGTGATGTTTTAAATGTATTTTACATAGGCAGGCATTTTTTTTAATCATTCTTTCATTTATTCGTTAGTTTGCTTGCTTATTAAAAAACATTAATTGAATTAACTGACTTTGTGATATACGGTATGGTAGATGGAGCTTTGGATGAGGGGTCATGAGGTCTCAGTGAATGGTTGTCTCAGTCTGCGTGTGCTGCTATAACAAAAGACCACAGACTGGGTAACTGATCAACAATAGAAATTTATTTCTCATGGTTCTGGAGGCTGGGAATTCTAAGATCAAGACACCTGCAGGATTGGTATCCTCGTAGATGGAGCCGTCTAGGTGTCCTCACATGGTGGAAGGGATGGAAGGGCAAGAGGGTCAAATGCTGTGTGAAGCCTCTTTTATAAAGGGCATAACCCCATGCTCTAGAACTCCACCATCATGACATAATCCCCTTCTCACCATCACACTAGTCAGTAAGTTTCAACACATGAATTTCACAGGGGACATAAACATTCGAGCCATATAGCAGCAGTTATGGTTCTTTCACTTATTATATGACCTTAGACAACTACAAAAACTCTCTGAACTTCAGAGTCCTTCTCTTGGAACTGGGTATGAGAGTTCTTTTTTATTTCACTGGATTGCTTTGAGAATGAAGTGAATGTGTGAATTCTCTGGTGTAATATAGTGTTAAGAACTCAGCCTCTAGAAGCCGACTTGGTTCACGTTCTAGCTCCTTTAGTAGCAAGGGATGTGACCTAGAGCAAGTCCTTTAACCAATTTGTGCCTTGACCTGGTTGTGTTTTTACATAAAATGATGTTTTGCTCAGATAGTTATGCACTTTCCCCCATCTCCATGAATGTCCAGTGGAACACTTAAGAATTGTGGAGGAGCAGGCCAGGCCATGCATTGAAGGATAGCTAACATCCTTGACTCAATTCACTATGTGCTAGCAGCCCCCAACATGCCCCTTCACTAGCTCCTGTGGGGTAGTCCTGCCTCCATCAAAACCACTGCTCTGCACCCTCACTCCTCAAAATGTGGGGCCCAGCAGCACTGGCCTCATCTGAGAGCTTGTCAGAAATGTAGAATCTCAGGCCCTAGCCCAGACCTGCTGAGTTAGAAGGTATAACTTAACAAAAGCCCTGGAGATTCATATGCACGGTCAAGTTTGAGAAACACTAGTTGAGCCCTGGCCATTTCACACCTTGAGTAAAGTATGTAACTTGTTAAGGATTCTTGAATAATTTAGGGCTGTGCTGTCCAGTATAGTAACCATTAGTCACCTGTGGTTGCTGAGCACTTGAAATATGGCTAATCCAAATTGAGATATTCTGTGAGTGTAAAATACACTGGATTTTGAGGACCTTAGTATGAAAAAAAAAGTAAAATAACTCATTAATAATGTTTGTGTGGATACACATTGACATGATAATATTTTGAATGTATTGGATTAATAAAATATGCTATTAAAATTAATTTCACCTGGGTTTTTTTTTAGTGTGGCTACCAGGGAATTTTAAATTACATGTTTGGCTCACATTATATTTCCGTTGGACACGTTGGTCTGGATACTATTATTGCGCATTAGGAAGCACCTGGAGTAGCAGCTCTTTCCCCAGGTTCTCTGGGACAGTATCCAGAACATCGTGTGCCTGTGCCTCTGCGCACTTTCCTGGAAAAAAGGTTCATGGTTTCCTCCAGCTCTCAAACGGGTTTGAAGTCCATGCTGCTTAGGAAGCAGGATTCAGCTCTCAAATGCCAGTACCATTCCCACATGGCCTCTTTTGGAACCCTTTCAACTCTCTGCAGGCTGCAGCCACCTGCCAGGGCCACACAGTAGGTTGTAGCAGAGCCAGGACCCGACTTTCTGACTGCCGGAGCCCTGTCAGTCTCTTTGGGCTGCTGTAACAAACTACCAGAGACTATGTGGCTTAGAAACAACAGAAATTCATTTCTCACAGTTGTAGGGGCTAGAAGTCCAAGATCAAGGCACCAGCAGATTCAGCGTCTGGTGAGGGCCCGTTTCCTAGTTCATAGATGCATCTTCTCACCGTGTCCTCACATGATGGAAGAGGCCAGGGAGCTCCCTTGGACCTGTTTAATAAGGGCACTAATCCCATTCACGAGGGCTCTGCCTTCCTGACTAATCACCTCCCATAGGCCCCACTTCCTAACAGCATTGCCCAGGATTTCAATATATGAAGTTGGGGGGACTTGGAGGTTGGACTTCAACATATGAACTTTATGGGACGCACACGTTCAGACCATAGTAGGCCCTGGCCTCCGCCTCTTGGATGCCCTTTTCATTTGACAAGCTAAAGCTGCGAGAAGTCTGGAAGGGTCCTGCCAGGATATTTCAGAGAGCTTGTATTTGAGGATGGCTTAGCACCTTCCTTCATGGCGAGGTATTGTTTATCTTTGAGAATAGTTCAGAAAGATGAAAGGCCTGAGGAAACACTTCCCGGAGGGCCAGGTAGGCCAGGGCAGCTCCAGAACCTTCTCTCCTAGGGCTGAACCCTGCTGTGGGATGAGACAGTGCGTGCGTGGAGTGGCTGCTGGGGGGGCTTTCCCAACACTCACTAGAAGGTTCGCTCCTACCCCAGGGCACTGGAGGACTCCAAGGATTCCAGCCAGGTTGAGCCTTTACAAGGCTAGCCCGGGAGGACGAGGCTAGCCTTCACAGAGAGCTGAAGGGGCCGTTTACCCTGAACTACGCGGTGTCCGACTAGATTGGACCCTATGCTCCTTCAAGGGCTGGAATCATGTCTTTAAAGCCCCAGGAACCAACCCATAGTCAAGTACACGGGCTTGGATCCGCCCATGATGGTCCATGGGGTTGTGTACGACCCGCCCGTCCCTGCTCTGCCCTCTTCCCCTCACTCACCACTCACCCACGTGGCCGCTGGCTGGTCCTTGAACTCCCAGACACATCCTACCTCAGGGGGCTTCTGCGACTGTTTGCTCTCCAGACACTACCACGTCCCCCGCTCCCTTCCTCCAGGTCTTTGCTCCGAGGCCACCTCTCACTTCCCCTGTCCTGTGCTCCACTCCCATCTCCCTTCCCTGCTCTGTGTCATCCATCCCTCTGTCATCTTCCACCTGCTGTATAACCAGCTTATCGGTTGTTCATTGTCTGCCCCACCTCACCACTAGAATGCCATCCCCAAGTGCCTAGAGCAGTGTCTGACACTGCAATGGCCCTCAGTCAATATTTGTTGAATGATTGGGTGTGTCCTGATCGTAGCGACGTAGCAGTTGAGTGAAAGCCTGTGTGAGGTGCTTCACATCTGTCATTCTCCCCACGATCTTGTTGTAGTAGATGCTGTTATCCCATCTCACAAATGAAGAACCGGAGATTCACTGAGGTTAAGTGCCTTGCTAAGGTCCCACGGTGACTGCAGAACTTCGATTCAACCCAGGGGCCCTGGGAGTCAACACTGTTGTGAGGCCCCCTCCCGCAAGACATGCACTTACACGCCACTCGTGCAGAAAAGGGCAGTTTGTTCACTCCAGCTGGCCAGCGTCTGTCTCCCGAGGAGCAACCAAGGAAGAGCGGCCTCGGGCATTGGTCTTGTGGGGTTTTTAAAAACAAAAACTGCATCCCGTTGGCACACGGGTTTGTCCAGGTGCAAAAAGCAAGTTAGAGAGCTAGGTCACAGAAGCCAAGAATGAGCCATTCGAGCGATCAAGCGTACGACTTTTCATTGTGGATGTTCCCATGTAATAGTTCACTGTGTGTGGCTCCCGTTCCCGTGTGATAGTTTACTGTGTGTGGCTCCCGTTCCCGTGTGATAGTTTACTGTGTGTGGCTCCTGTTCCCGTGTGATAGTTCACTGTGTGTGGCTCCTGTTCCCGTGTGATAGTTCACTGTGTGTGGCTCCTGTTCCTGTGTGATAGTTCACTGCGTGTGGCTCCTGTTCCCGTGTGATAGTTCACTGCGTGTGGCTCCTGTTCCCGTGTGATAGTTCACTGCGTGTGGCTCCTGTTCCCGTGTGATAGTTCACTGTGTGTGGCTCCTGTTCCTGTGTGATAGTTCACTGTGTATGGCTCCTGTTCCCATGTAATAGTTTACTGTGTGTGGCTCCTGTTCCTGTGTGATAGTTTACTGTGTGTGGCTC